CATGAAATACCTGTCCAAGAGACTGCTTCGAAGGGTGATCCCCAATCTTCTCAAGGCGCTCCTGCCACCCCACGCAAGTTCCCTCAACAGATCTAAAAACGTGCGTTCATGTGTTTACACTTTAGACACTTGACCCAGTCCAGCTCTTGGGTGCATTTGTCAAGCTTTTTGCCAAGTACTTCAACAAATTGAGGTAGGATCTGTAGTGGGCTTTGCGTGCTGGAGATCGTAGGGAACGACATCCTCAGCTAAGACTTCTAGACTTCTAGAAGCTATAGTATGATGCGTGCAACAAGACCCAACACAGGCGAACCATTTCACTGGGTAACCTGAAGCTCATGACACCAGTGGTGCTCCCAAGCATGGGAGTTCCGGCTTGTCCCGAGGAAGAAGAAGAACCACCAGCAGCGTTGGGGCCACCCGAAATCAAGGCTGCGGCTGGGGCATCGAAGTCCGGAAGATCAGTGGCTAGCAGAGTTCCCTCATCGTCCTGAATATGCATGTGCGTGCATATACGCATGGAAAGGATCTTTTTGCGCACACTGCAAAGATATACATGTGCATGTGTTGCATGCATAGCATGGGCACGCCTGCACTGTGATATTGCCAGACTGCGTGGCTTCTTCAACTTCCGTTGACGTAACGTCAAAACTCTCATTGGCCACTATGTAGATCTCTTCCTCGCCATGCACCTCATTAACCCTGATCTTTGATTGGGCTTTGGCCCATGCCCATGCTTTGATCAGCATATTCCTCAGCTGTATCCGTATATACGTTTCCACGTGCTATATAATGCATGCACGTGTAGAACTGCTGAGCAAAAGTTGAACAAAACAAGTATCTTTGAGTAGCCCTCATTTTTCTCCAGTTTGGCCTTCGTGTACCAGCCACCCTGCTTGGACTTACTGCGGCTCATGGTGTTCTTTCGGACGATTGCCAATTCCATGGCTTGAAATGAACCGTGTTCAAGGAACATGCGCTGCAAATCTTTCCCTTAGTTTGGGCACACATTATTTTGAGAGAAGCCATACATACATGAAACGCGCGTATACCACATGCACAGCTAAGTCAGGCACTCCCCTCCGGAGTGCGCCACATCTTAAGAGCTTCCGGCGAACACTTGAGGTGGCCACCAACTTTGGGTTTGAAGTAGCGGTTCAGCCTTATCAGCCAGCAATCTTAATGTGTCAAGACAAGCTGATGGCATGTACACACCAAGAAACTTCCAGTAGGGGTTTCCTTGGTGTGAAGCCGCTAGGGAAGCAGAGTCACCGGGATCTTCCATCACAGACTCCGTGTCTGGTGTGGGGGCTGGCAAGCATGCTGGTGGTGTTGATGGTGCTGGTGCATGCACAGCTGCTGTTGTTGGTCCGGGCCCTGTGGCCAGCACCGTTGCCGGTTCCGGGACCAGTGCTGGCAGTGCCTGGGTTCGTACAGGGGGAGATGCCTTGGCCGGCGCTGGTACTGCTTGGTTTGGTGCGGATGCCAATGTAGTCGCTGGTGCTGGCATTGCTGCGGCTGGTGCGGATGCCAATGTAGTCGCTGGTGCTGGCTTTGCTGTGGCTGGTGTGGAGGCCTTTGCATTGCCAGGCGCTGGTGCTGCTACCGTTGGCGTAGAGGCCTTTGCATTGGCTGGTGCTGATGCTGCTGCCATTGGTGTAGAGGCCATTGCATTGGCTGGTGCCTTAGCCGCTGCTGACACGGCCTGGACTGGTGCAGAGGCAGAGGCTGGCGCTGGCACTGCTGAGGTTGGTTCAAAGGCCGATGTATTGGCCGGTGCTTTGGCCGGTGCTGGCACTCTAGCTGGCACAGGCGCGGCTGAACCTGGTGTAGGGGCCTGCGTATTGGCTGGTGGCTTGGCCAGTGCTGGCACTCCTTCGGGTGCAGAAGTCATACTTGCCTTGGCTGGCGGTGGCACAGCTTGGGCTGAGTGTGTAGATCGCAATGCTGGTGTGTCGGTCGGGGCTGAAACTGCTGCCGCATGTGGCGCTGAAGCTGGCACTGCTGGATGCTTTGCTTCGGCGGGAGTTTCTTTTCCATCCGGTAATGCTGCTGGGGTTGGTTTGGCCTGCAAAGCTGAGCTCAACGTTTGGTCAGGCTGGGTGTCTGGGATGGTTTGCTGGGACTCCAACCACACGCCAGGGAGAGCATCAGGGGGAGAATCATTGAGCATCTCTACATCCACAACCGGCACCACTGGAACCGCAGGATTCCCTGCACAATACTGCCCACTCTGCTGGGCAATAGTGGGCGCTCCTTAAAAGGATCAAATGCAGTGGCGTTTCACAAGATACGATTTGACAGAATCAATAAGCAACATTCCCAAAAAATGATCTGAAAAGTCGGACTGAGGATCCACATATCCCATTGACAGGCCCCTCCTCTGAAGCTTGGTTCGAAAGCTTCCGGCGAATAGCAGCAATCCGAGTTTGGCGAGCCTCATGTGTGAAGCGCGCACGTGTGCATTGAGGAGGTGTCCTGGAGTATGTTTTTTTGGTCATCAAAAAAGCTATTTCAGGACACCTTCACACGATCGATGTGCACATGCATGTGATATATACATAATATACGGTGAGGAACTTCAATCATAGACTGCAGCTGCCTCTTACGATCTGACATAGACGCATCACCATTTGCATATCCCACACGATCCATCCCTTTGCACAGTGTCTCTGCCGAGTGCAAACGACTGGCCATGTATAGCTAGCACACTTAGCCAAAAAAGTGCTCCAGGGTTGCTACCAAATGTTTCAAAAGCTGATCAAAACTAGTTGCGTTGCGAAAGCATATTTCCAAAAGAGGCACATATTTTTTTTGCGCCTCTTTGCGGGTATTTGCGCCTTTTTGCGCTTTTTTGCGCCTCGTTTGCGCCCTGTAAATTTCCCACCAAACCAACTGTCCACTTGACTTTCCTGTCATTACACATGTTCAGAGGGGCATTCCATGGTGGGGACAGCCAAATGGGCAAAAACATGCATGCAGTCCGTGTCGTTTGCAGCTAAAGCCACAGCGACATACGTGACAATTGGGAAGACCCTACGTGCACGCGTTCATCCTCAGAAGTTCTTGGTATTGAGAGCGAAGCTCTGGGTCACCTAGCACCTGTTGGGCTTGGAATCAACAACAGTTTCAATTTACTGTAATGTTCGCTGTGTTGAGTGATCTCGGAAACCTTTGCCTCCTGGCGGTACTCTTGCATGAAGCTGTGTATGGCGTCGTGCCAGTCTGGTGGAATCCTGCATGAAGGGAGGCCAGTTGATCAAAAACCATATACATTATAAATGTCCAACATGTTTTTTGGATCCTTAAGTACTTCGATGTCATGACGTACTCCAGGGGTTCAAGCAAGTTGGCATCCAACCACAAATCGTTGCCCATTGGCATATTTGTGAATTGGTCTCTGGCTGATAGATGCTTGTCAAATTCTACCTTGAATCTCAAATCACGCAGCGCAGGTGACACAAGGTGCTGCTCGAAGGCTCTCCGCAGGTTCTCAGCAAAGCCTTCTGGATAGGCCCTGGGCGGACCGGTCGGGACGTGGAAAAGGGTGTCAGGACATAATGATCCATGCATATAATTAGCTATACATCCATGGGTTGCAGACCAGGTACTGAGAACCTCGTAGGTCTCGGGTACCCTGGAATCTTTTTTCCCCTTTGGCATTGTGATATTGACCTGCGTGTGCTCAACAATACACATGTGCACGCATGCATATGCAGTCGGAAAAGTTAACCGATGGCAAGATACGTGTCAACTTCTTGGTAGTACGTTTCTCCTTCTCGGATACTGTCAAGGTCCCCAGATCCAACATGCCAATCTCCCTCATGTTGGAAAAGCATATCGTGGGCTTGCTGCTGGGAGCTCCGTGTAACATCATCCAAAAGCGTGCCATATATACCTGATCAACATGCAATCACATGCATTTGGTTAAACATCGAAAGGGCACGACCGAACCAAACAAAATTACATGGCCGGAAAGGAATTCATGTGCCAGATCAGCCGTCTAGGCACGTAGGCCACTACATTCATAAGCCACTCAAACCTTGAATGCCGAGGTAACAAGCTCCCTGATGGTTGTTCCACCACCCAGATTATGTTCCTGGACATAGCCAGTAAGATACAAAGTACCAGCCTTAGATAGGCCCACACCCAAACTCCCAAACAGTATGTCTTCCAAGTAAAGAGATCGACCCAAACCTCAAAAAAGTCTTTTTTTGGCAAAGGTGGGCTTCCGGCTAACCATCGTTGAAGAACCCCTCACCCAGGCAAGGAATATATTGCCAGCTATGTTGATATAGTTGCGCATGGATGTGCCACGCGCTGGAACCCCCCACGATGAGCAGTCGGGGCCGGCCAAGAGTAGGCCATTGGGACACAGGTCAAGAAGCACGGAAACTGCCAACCTGAAACCGGGCATGTGCGGAATGAGCAGCATCGGTGTTTTCGTTGGTTTTCACAAGAGATCTCATGCAATAACAGATCCAAGATACACAAATCCAGCTGGCCCTAGAAAGTTCATGGAGCGTTTCTCAAATTCCCAATCGTAACTTGCAGTTCTATATCCCGAAGCAGTCCTTGAGGCATGCAAGGGAAAAACATGACTGCATGTATACACCACCCATGTGTTTTTTCAATTTATAACTGGGGACGTGACATCACACGGGTGGCAGCCTGCTTGCCTGCAAACAGGTCGAAGAACTCGTAGGGCGCCGTGGGTTTGTTTGGGAGGTCCATCCAGGACACAAGAAGCACCTTGGGCCGGAGCTCACATGAACCCTCGGTCACTTGTGCACGGTGTCATGAACATCCAACGTTGAGCCCGCAACCAAGGCTATGAAGGCCTAACACAACGGCCCATCAAACTTCTTGCACACGCGTGAACATATCTGCAAAGCAAAACGCCCGACCTTCGGGGCCTGTGTGTGTTGCAAAGAGCTCACCGGGTTCCACATGTTGGAACACGTACTACTATAGCTTTAGGCCAAAGTCAAAATGCTGCATTAAAGATGTAACTCACGACTCAAAATGCGCGTGAAGCCATGCGAGTGAACGCTTGCAAGATAGAACTGACCAAGCTCGCCCGGCAGGCCCGCACAAAGCGCCTTCCTCTTCCACATCAAAGAGGCCTGCACCTGGCCGGACTGCGGGCACAGACACGGTAGCAGATCGATAGCCGGTCAGTCAGAAGATGTCAGAAGGTCATAAGTCATATGAAATCACACTGCAGTGGACAAGTATTCACGAACAACTAAAAATGATGGGTCTGTTTTTTCTTTGCGTCTCATGCTGGTACAACTGGCCGCGATTATACACAGCAAGTTGAGTAGCTACCCCTATCACCCCATCATCGAAGGTTTCACTTCGAGAATGCACCCAAGCCGTGTTCTCACGGCAAGTGACAGTGCCTGGCACTGGCACTATCATGAAAGACATATGACATCGTTCGAGTAGAAAAATGCAGCGATCAAGCGCCAGCAGCAGCATAAGCCTTGGCAGGCAAAGTGCATGTTGGGACAGATTTGGTGAAAAGGATTTACAAGAGAGCCCTAAAAAGATAAACAATCCAAAACAGGTTGGATGGGTAAGTGCCTTCAAGAAACGACCTTGCCCAATCGGATTGCTTCCTCCATGGGCTCTCCGTTCTTCAAGGCAGCCCGCTTTGCACAATGGTAAGCCGAGGACTTTGCGGACTGAATCTTCTTCTTTTGCTGATCAGCCTCAGCCTCACCCTTTGGCTTCTCTGACCCACCGTCTCGCTTCTTCCTGTTCGGCTTTCCTGCCCGACTGCTTGGCTTGTCAGTAGAGCTGCCAGCGCCACCGCTTGGCTCAGTAGAGCTGCCAGCGTCACTCGATGGCTTTGGCTTCCTCGTGGATTTTGCCTTCGCCTTCGGCTTTGCAGGTGCTTTGGAATGTCCATCAGCTGTGCGTTTGCAGGCTTTGGAACTTCCCGAACTGGGGCATTCTGCCACAGCATGCCCTTCGGACTCAGACAGCTTCTCATCTCCAGTCTTGGCAATCTTGGTGGGCTTGGCCTCGGGTGACTCCTCGGAAGCAGAGGCTTTGTTGGCCTGCGAACCCTTCGACTTGGAAGTGGAAGCCTTTGCCTTAGCAGTAGAGCCCTTGGCCGCCAAGTCCTTTTTCTTGGCTGAGCTTTTGGGCGCTCCTTTAGCTTTGGCTTTGGGCTTCGATTTGGGTTTCGAAGCCTTCCGCTTCGGAGCCTTGCCCACATTCTCAGCATCATGGTCTTCATTTTCATCACACTCCTTTGCCTTCCCACGACGACCACCGCGGCCACGACCGCGTCCACGTCCACGGCGAGGGCCCCGCTGCTCTGCTGGGGTGATCGGCTCGAGGGACTCTAAGACATCATCCGGGCGGGGCACAGGATCATCAACAGGAGCATCTGTCCCACAAGGTGGACCATCAGCTGCATCGCTTTCCATACGAGGTGGATCGTGAGCAGGTTCATTTTCTGGGCCAGGTAGTGCATCAGCAGGGTGATCTGCTGTGCTGAGTCCATGGTCGGCAGCAGGTTCAGGAACCTCTGCAATGGCATCAGCAGGTTCAGGAAGCTCTGCAATCGCATGCGCTGGAAGAGGTGTGGAGTCATCAGCAAGTGCCCGGTGAGCTCCGGGATCATCAGCTGCCTGTCAAAAGGTAATGATGCAGGTAAAAAAGATTAAACAAGTTATGGAGGACATGATGACGCGCAGTGACATCTCCCACTACCCCCCAGACCTTGTGAGATGCCTCCTCCTCATGAACTTTGTCGTGTTCAGCGGAGTCAAGAGCCCATATGGATGAGAGAGAGAGGGTTCTAGCATACAGAAAAGTTGGCCTCGAATCAAACAGGTCCTGTGCTTCCTGCATGGTAATTACAGCCTCTTCTGCTGCCGCCTGTGCGAGCGCAGCATCCGCATTGGCAGCATTCGCACTAGCTGCATGGACCAAGGAGTCAACGGATTGAGGATCCAGTGGCAAAGTCTCAACCACGTCAGGGCCTGATCGCATGTATACATGCATAGTTGCGTCATGAATTTGGACAGGCATGCATCACAACTATATGCCGACAGGCTGCTCTGCACAGGGGCCTTCTTGACAGTCGTGTTAGGTGGCAGCATCTCCTCAGCTTTGGGCTTCGTGTTCCGAAGTTCAAAGGCTGCCTCAGCATTCGCCCTTCCAGCTGCCCTATCTTCCGCTTCTTTCAGATCATGGGAGACTCTCACAGCCCAAATGGCATTCTCCTTGGAGTAGCCCATGTCGTGCAACTTTTGCATGTCTTCCAAGGCACTCACATCAGCAGCACGGATGATCGGACAAGGTGGCCGATCACCCTTTTGTGACATAGAATCGAGTAGAGCTGTCTGCAACGACTTCTCTTCCAAGTCCATGCGCTGTGACTCTTCCAGCTCCAAAGCGGCAAGCATCTCGTTGGCTTCCAGAAGTGCCATCTCCTCCTCTAGGAGTTCCATGGCCAACACTTCATCTTGAAGACTTTGCAGAAGGTTCTCTTCTGCGGCTTGGTTTTCTCCGTCATGTTCCACAACGTCAGCCATGAAGTTCACAGTGCATGACATCTGACGGATGTCTGCACACGACTCACCAACTTGTCCACACTTCTGGCATCGGAAGTGCTGAGTTGGGTGTTTGACGATGTAGTGCTCATCAAGACCTACTGGAAGGTTCATGCACTCCTCCCGTGTCAGCAGCAGAGAACCTGAGCGTGAATGGCCCGAGAATTTGAAACCAACCTTTGGAACTGCCCGAGCAAAGCATGGAAAATTGGTTTGAGCTATGGGACTGTAATCAACATTGTCATCGTTTTGGCCAAGACCAGGAACACCAGAGCTGTGGCATCCTGGCCACAAGCATCATGAAGAATGAAAACATATCCACAAACATCCACCTTTATATATACAACATGCATAGTCCAGTCCTGGTCCAACTTGCATATATTCGAGTCCTCCGGCTGGTTCAACTGGTTTTGGGGCGCTACATGCGTCCTCTGTTGGGGGCACAGTGCCGTATGTGGCAGGCTCCGGCTCAACAGGTTCTCGCATCGGCTCATCTACAACCGGCAGGGGCTCAGCCGATGGAAGCTCCTGCGTGTCCAAATATCCAACCAGTTTTTGTAAAAAAAATGTATATCATGCACTATAGTTTGTTCTCGACCGATTAGATCAACAGTTTATAGCGTCCCGAGCTATCCTCCACAACGGGGTCATCCTCAAATTCACCCGTGCTTTCCTCGCCCTCCTCCCCACCACCACACTCTCCATCATCACCTGCACCGTCTCCCCCACCACCGCCAGCTGCAGCACTGGCAGGGGGCACGAGTGAGTCGCTGCTGCCTCGGTTCAGGCGCAGCTGCATGGGAAGAGCGACAATGTCCAAAACAGTATCTAAGAAAACATACCCCCAAGAAAAGGTTGCGCGGTTGGGGGATGAAGGGCTGATCAAGTTGCTCCGGTTGGAATTTAGTCCTCTTGGGCTGACTGGAGGAACGGGAATTTCAGCAGCCTCCATGAGCTTCCTAATTTCCTCTTCCTTCGGCCTGTGACCCCTCCGGATTGCCCTAGAGGCTACATAGACCAATGATCGGATGATCCATGCCTCGCTTTGTACTTCAGCACCTAGGCGATCACACGTCCGATACAAAGGAACTCAGGAAAACATGCGCGTGATAATACGTAAGTAGCTGACGGCTAGGCAACTTCTTTCCCCTTATCCGGCAGTGGTTCATGAAGAGTTCCACAGCCTCGCTGAGCACAGAGAGAGCAGGCCTCATTCCTGGACGTGCACTTTTTTGATAGAAAGATAAGTGGCATGAAAAACTTATTTAAAACACATGCATGTGCGCAAGTTGTATTAGTGCAGCCCATTCTCCAAGATAGCGGACGACCGGCTGGATGGCATGAAAGTTCTGGCAAACATCAGCCCTAGTGATCTCATCCTTTCCCTTGACCCGGGCCATGATCCCAGCAGATGCCAGGGCAACCAAGGGAGCATTCTGTATCCAAGCAGCCACCAACTGTTGCACTGCTTCCCCAGCCATGCTACCACACAAAAGCCAACCAGCGTAGATCGGACTTGTGCCCAAATGGCTGTAGATTTGAGCCCAACCATGTCCGACTGAACAATTCCGAAGTAAGGAACCTCAACGAGTCTCAATCAACCCAATCCCCAACACCGGATGGTCTCGCCTCGATACTCAGACTCTTCGGCAGGCTGTGGAGGTGGCCATGGACCTTGTGGCACGCACAGCCTACCGCAAAGGGGTTGTGGGAGAAAGCTGAGGGGCAAACAGAGTACAGGCCAGAACCGAAAGCCAAATGGCTTGAACAAAATGGCAACCAAATATACACCGCATGACATATGCCTCGTTTGGGATGATCCCTCTGAATGTGCCTCTTTTGGACAATCATGCCTCGTTTGAAGATTTCTGCTCGGAATAGAGAAGAGGCACATAATAATGCTCGTTCGAAGATTCAGGTCTAAACACATCAAGTTGAAATACCAACTGGCACCAACAACTAACATGTTTTTCCCATGATTCCTCAGAAGTTCCCACCCTGAAGTTCTCAAACAGCGAAGATCTTGGTAAAGTTCTCAATGTGAAGCGAACTTGGCTGTAAAGAGAGAAGGAACACATGATGATAACAATTGTGTTTTTCAAGATTCAAGGCTCTATCTTCAGGTTCCAGGTGTTCTTCCACAGCGTACCTACAATGATAGTGACCACTTCCTGCCTTCAGAAACTCCAGGCTTTACTGAACGGTGTCTTCATGTTTCTTCTTTTCCATGATGAAGTACAAATGCCATTAAAGGTTCGGTTGAGAAACTACAGGTGTGTTTCTCCTAAAGACCAGTTATAGGGATTCCCAGTTTCCATGCAGTTCTACTGATCCTTGAATGGCAGGGAAACACCATGTTTAGGTGGTTTGCAGGCGCGAAAAGCTCGTGTTGTTCTTCCTGTTCTTCCCGTTTGCTCGTCGTCCCCTCCCATTTTTGGGCTGGGAAGATCCTGTACGTTTACACCACACCGTCCGAGGCGTCCAAATCCTTTTCTGATTTGTCCAAGCGCAGGACACGGAGCACCCTGAGACGGGTTCGGAATCGGCTCGCCCGACGTTGTTGATAAAGACGCGGTCCAACTCTCAGGGTCCAACGAACTCTTCTCTCCGAAGTGAAGACCCGGTTTTGCCAGCGAACCGGTGCAGCCGCAACCGGTCGGGCTCCAAAAACGAAGGCAACCGAAGACCGAGAAGATCACCCCTTTTTTCGGTCCATCCATATTAGAGACCGTCTTTTTTTGCGAAGTGAAGGATCTCCTTGGGTGTGTTTCCCGGTAAAGAACGCTTTACAAAGGTCGAAGTGGGATTGTCACAGTTTTCCCCAAGGATTTACTGGGTGTTCTTCGCCTACTTCACCGCCTGTGCAGCGACTTGGTGTTGACCGCTCGCGCGCTCCTCGCTCGCGCGCGGGGTCGACGCACCCAGCTTTTGTGCATCTCAGGGCCACCCTACCAACTCACCACCGACCACGCGATACAACGTGTCTTGGAAATTCCATACGCCTCGGCCGGGGGCGTCCACATTCTGAGATCCCAACGGCCTTTCTCCCTGCGGACGTTCAGGGTCACAAGCGATAGGAGGGTCCTGCCTGCAAACCATATGGAATACACATCGTGCCTGCCTGATGGGGGGACCACCTCTTTTTTTACACCTAAAACGTGCAGTCAATGAGTGGACGTGGTTTCGCTGCTGCGTAAGCCAGCGGTCGTACGCCCCGCCCCAAAACGCATCCTTCCGCTGGCTGGGGGCGGGCTCTGGTCGTTCTCAGGCCTGGGCGGTGCGCCGCTTCTTGCTGCATTTTGAGCCTTCTGGAATGAGGGAGCAGTCCGGGGCCTCAAAACAGCGGCCTCTTGGTGTCCGTGCGCGTGGAAGCACGGGTGGCCCTATGATGACCAACTTCCGCAAGGGTGTCACGTGCCGGGCCATTTTGTGGCGACACGGGTCTCATATGTTTTGTTGAAACACGGACTTGATTCGATTCCACTAAAAAACAGAAAACACATTGTCTTGGACTCCGACGAGGGGGTCCGTTATACAGTTGTTTATGGTGAACGATTGAGACAAGAAGGACTGCAGTGCCAGGAGCTTCAGTCAGTGACGGCTTTCAAGTCTTTGTGACCTCTTTGGGGACTACTGTAAGTCACATTCTGGTATCTCAAGTTCGGTCAACCCATGAATGTCCTGGTGGTTGATTCCCCATTCAACAACATGAAACATCAACCCTCCCTGAGAGGAATGGTTGCTTCTTGGGCGAATCGGAAGATCCGTAACTCGGCGCTGCCAGGTATGGGGTCGCGCCCAGCGCCATGCACGGGCACGTGATCATCGGGCAACCCGATGCCAAAGAGACGCGGGAACCGCGCAAAAAATGGGGCGGGGGTTCGGAAAAGTGTTGTTCTTTGATGTTCTTTGCTTTTATTGGTTGTGGGAACTGTTCATTATTGGCAAGAAACCCACATGAATGGAAAAATATTGTGGTTAGTAAGGATCCTCATCATTCTTCATCAAACAAAGAGGGCGTCCGGGTGCCTGTTCAAACATAAAAGGATAGTAAAAACAGTAGTGTTTGGGAAATGGTTCCATGATGGCAACCATCATGGTGGATGAAACAAAACCCTATCGGAAGTAGTGAAAAACCAGGTTCGGATGTAGCCTACCAACGCCAACCGATGTCCAGCATCCCCTTGAGATGCCCTTTGGTTAGTTACCGCCACCGCATATGGCGGCCAAAAGCCCATTTCACCCTGGTAGGTTGACCTCCCGTGGTCATGACCCATAGCCAACCCTTCGGGAATCCGATGTCCTTCTCCGCTCCCCACCCGGAGCTGCCGGTGCTACCGGTGCGTCTTCTTCCCCCGAGGCTGGCGGTGGCCCAGTTGCCGCTCTGTTGGCTTCTGACGCCGTCGGCCGTGGCCGGCGTGACCGGCGCCGCCCTCCGATGAGGGAAACGGCCAGAGGAACGCCGGGAGGAAGCGAAAAAGGGGTGCGCTCCCCGTGGCCAAGCTCCCCATGTTGTTCGGTGGAGGTGGGGCAGGACGAGCAAGAGGCTGGAAGCCTAGAGTCTTCTATAGACAAGCGAAAGAAGATGATATGGCATAACACCAAGAAGAAAGAACATCGCCAGACTCTGCTCATTAGACAGTTCTGCCAATTAATGGAGGCGATTCGGATGAGACGCACCGGCATTTCGGTTCCGAGGTCGGGTCGGTGAAGAGTACCGGTGAAGAGCACCGTCCTCGTGCTGGGTGAAGGTAATGAGTATCAAGACACTCCATGGGACTGCCATATATGCCTACATTGACCCCCAAAACCACCCCAATTGATCGGCATATATGGCAGTCCCATGGAGTGTCTGGGAGTATCAAGACAAGCACCGAGACGTAAGTCCAAACGTCGGTCATATCAAGACGGTGCTGCGTGCGGTAGGTGGCAAGGCACCCGTTTCGGTGCGGAAGATCTCTTGGGAGGAGGGTTTGCACATCGGCATGTGGTAAATCTTCGGAGTGCATGGAGTGCAAGTGGATCCAAGTCTCCAGACAGAGTTGAGGGGAGGTAACTATAAGGGAGTGGTCTTTAATCACCTCAAATTCGATGGAACCTGGTACATAAAGAGGATTCGCAGATTGACACACCCGCATGGAATCTCAAAAAGGAAGAACTTGTTTTGTAGAGCCATCCGTTTTTCAAGGCACCTTCATGCCCAACTCATCCCAACTCCATCCTCCAAACTAAGGGATAAACCTCGATCTAGTGACCTCACGGTTTTTGGAAATCATCATTCTTAGCCAACGACATCCACTGCTGCAGTGATGGGATGGTTTTTCACGATCCATTCAATTGCACTGGAAATGGGGGGGTCTCAGTCTCACCTTCACGTGGCCAGATCCCCGGTTCGATCCACCTCAATGAAGCCGTCCGGCCACTTGGGTCTCCCTGAACTCAGGGAAAAGCGGAAGAACCAATCCCAGGGCATGACTCAATGGCTTCTTGATGACTCAAGGTTGACGGTGAATATACAAACCCCAGTGCAAACCCCCTTCCCCCAAAAAAAGAGGTTTGATATGGTTTCATATAGTTTCATATAGTTTCTTTGATATGTTGAAATGGTGTTTCGGGGGATTTGGAAACCGTTTGTGTTTTATGGCCTATCACCATTCTGCACCAGTGCATGGGGTTTATGGGTCTCAACCGTCAATCTGGACACAACCCATGCCACTAGGGGATACCCGCAGTGCTTGAGAAGGAGTAGGCTGAACACATTGACAGTGCCATGTAGACCCCATGTCGGTCGGCAACCCTGACAACCACTGGTTTGAAAACCAGCTCGGTGCATCGGACCCGTCGTCCCGGCGGGAACGTGTGTGGCCATGGGTCCATGTAGACGTCATGAACCAGGGCCCCCAGGCTCTTGAGATGTCCAGCAAACTGGGGGCCCTGGAAGATGATGTTCCAAGGTTGATTTCATCAAGATTCAAAGGAGCCAAACTACGTATTCGTAGTACTATTTCATCGTTCGAGTCTATGGCTCTACGGTATTCCTGTAGGACCTCTAAAAGCCTCTAGGGTTGCAACAGCTTCATGAAAGAAGGTATACTTACAAAATTAACCAGTATACTTAAGGTCTTATATCAACTCATTGACAGTGACACGTGTTTGCACCATTTCCGGCACACATGCTCATCTTGGCTCCAGAAACCTCCGGCCACACAGAACCCTTTCGCGCAAGACCAGGGTCCACAGCGACGACGCCGGACTTCGAAGTCTGTGACGGGTGCCACTCACCACACCACCACCAATGCAGAAGCCTTAAAAGCACTGAAAAGAGATCTCGTTGGAAGCGGAAGAACTCGGGTGTTTCTTCCCCCCATTCCGAGTCGTCCAGTTCCGAACTTCGGTGCACCAAAGAAAACCCCCCGTCTGTGCCCACCGAAGCATCGCTTTTCCCACAGCTCTTGGTCCGTCACTCATCCAAACTACTCCCCCCCCGCACCACTCGTGTGTCACGAGTTCCGGACGTCCACGGGACTCTAAATGGGGCCTGCGGGGCCCGCGATCGATGGCCCGGCGGAGAAGCTGGTGAATGAACTCCAGCAGAGCCGGAAGATGCAGATGATCGACCATCTACAGGTGCCGCAGATGCGCGTCCGGCGCTCGACTCGTCACGGACGCACCGTGGTTTGTGCGGCGCGGACGTTGGGGCGGAGTGGCGTTTGAGCGGTTTGCAAACGGCTTTTTTGTTTGGTTTTGCCGTGGCGGTGTGTGACAATTGTTGAATCGTTCAAACTGGGAAAAAGCTTGCTCTTTGGGGGCAGAAGAGTTGAGCTGAGTAGAAAGCGCCACAGATGGTTTGGTATATATTCATGTATTGATAAGTAGCGCTTTTCTATAGTGGGTGGTTTCGGAAGCGCTTATCCAAGCGGCGCAGTGGCACCAGCAGAAGGTGAGAAGAAGCAAGATGCAGAGGCACCAGCAGCAGTTGTGCGTTCCTCGCTGACAGTTAGAAATCGGATGCATGTCCAAGAGAATGACCAGAAAATGTTCAGTTTCAGGTTCGCAGCCACTTCTTGTTGTCATTTGACAAGAAGTCACCAACCCTTCAGAAACCTGTGAGCTGGTAGGTGTCAGCGTTGGTGTCGCGTTAGAGAGACATGTCCGTTAGAGTGGGACCCCAGGCTTGGATTAGGTCTGCTGGACAGTGTCCTTCAGACTGTGACGGATTCATTTTTGCTGGGCATTGGTTTGTTGAAGCCCGCGTGATGAGCCGGGCATTGCCTTGTCCATAAGATTGAGCGCTTGAAGGCCCTGACAAATGCGTGCGTTGACTTGGAAAAAAGAAGCCGCGAAAGCACTCAAAGCACCAGCAGGTGCAATGGCTGGATTGGACTTTGGATTAGACTCCCAGGAGGCGGCGGCTGATCATCAAAACCCCCCGGCCCTGGCGTCGACGTGAGTCGAAGGCGTCGACGTGAGGTGGCAGTGGCTTCGGAGGAATCACACCCACCGGGTGAAGTCAGGATCAAACCTGACGGGAGTGAAGCACCATGGACGATAGCCCGAGCCTCACCGCATTTCTGAAGCCAAGATGGCGGCGAAGAAGTGCGGAGAAGTATTTCCACGGCACCCCGCTCGTTTGTTTGCCCGGAATCCTGATCACTGGCATTCACAGACATCCTTCAGGTGGCAAGCACGAGTTTACAACGTCTGGCAAAAAAAACGTCACAGATGCTTGGACAGTGGCGCCCGGCGTCTACGCCACGCCTACCAGGCAGTTCCCAGCCTGCGATGGAAGCGATTGATGAGAGCTGGCAGCCAGTGCTTGGGCGCCATACGTCCGATGCATCCTTACCCTCGTGACTACTAGACGACGGATGGACCGAGAGCGTTGAGATGTAGAGTTACTTTGGTGTAAGGTTACGATGAAACAGTAAAGTCAAGAGGGTTGTGGGGTGGTGAGAGAGAAAGTGAAAGAGATGGTGAGAAATGGATAGGTGCAAGAGGATCCCTGGAGGAGGGAAGCAAAGATGTCTTCCAGTCGGTGTTCATGTATGTGTTTGTGCGGTAAAATGGTCGGATTCAGGCCCTGCCCCAAAGATGTCTTCCAGTCGAAGCTTAACGAGCAATAGAATGTATGTTTTCAAGCCGTGCCCAAAAGATGTGTTCAAGGCGAAGCAGGCTGATGTTAAAGGTTTACAAGAACAAAATTTGTGGTTTCAGGACCTGCAGTTTGTGACACTTGACACGCATTTCGTGCGCAAGGGCTGCATTTCCTGGTGCCTCGTGTGCACTGCCCCCGGCCTAAGAAAGAAAGACAATATTGAGGAAAAGAGACGGATAGGGAGAAGAGAGAGAAGGAGAGAGACAGAGACAGAAAGAGAGAGAGGGAGAAGAGAGAGGATCATCCGAAGGATGCTAAGGAGCAGAGGGATCATGCCAAGAAGATTAGCTAGGAGATGTTGGCTTCAACATATTGCTTGCCACCCATGACGTGGAGTGGTGTTTCGAGTGTGGACCAGGAGCAAACACAGAAATGCGGAAGAAAGGGACATGGTTCTCACTTGCTGGCTGCCAGAGGAGGCATCCCTTGCTTGAAACAGATGTTCTGGAGGCTCAACACATTCAATTGAGTTTTGTACATGGCTCACAGGAGTGATGTTGCAAAAGGGTTGACATGCAGTAATGGGCAAGCTGCTGTTCTACACCATACATTGCACAAGGCAACTGGTGATTCCAGAGTTGTGGAGGTTGCTCACCAAACAGGGCCTGATTTGATGAAGGATGGAAGGCACAGCAGTGTGCCAAATACTATCAAATACTTCAATCTACTTTGGAACCTTGCAGTCTGATCCATGTGGACGCGCAAGAGCTGGTGTTCCAACAGAAGAATTGGCGGAATGCGCAGGTGAAATACCGTATGAACCCCAGGAACGACCAACTTGATGCAGGTCTTCAGCAAATGATGAGGGGCAGAACTGGCAAAAACTGGTATCCATCACCTGCACCTGTTGGCTGCTACAGAGTGGATGCTTGCGTTTTGAAGGGGGACCATCCTGGTGCAGCACTAGAGGATGCTTGGTTCTCCTGCACTGCTGGCAGGCCTGGAGACATCATTGCCCGCTTTTGCAACTTAGACTATGTGGAGGCTTCACACCAGATGGAACTGCAACTCTTCTTATGAGACCTAGCAGGTCATTCTTGGAGTGGATCACTTTCACAGCTTGGGAGGGCTTGGGAGGGCTGAGACGCATCAGGTCAGTGGCTGCCTTGCCAATGGTTGGCGGTTGTGCTGCAGGCCACGCAACGGGTCTTTCTTGGTGTGCACCCTTCGTGTTCAGAGCTAAGGCTGAAGAGGTTTGTTGCTGCTCTGGTTGTCGGCCACTGGCAGCAAGAGAATTGGCAGATTGATGGAGTCTGTACTTCTCTCGCCATAGGTCAACCAATTGATGCACGCGCTTGGATGTATGGCACCTGGACGCTTTTGGAGGCGGTTTTCGGCATGCATCAAATCAATGTCCCGCATCGTGGAGCCTGGAATTCCTTCATGAAGAAAGGCACCAAGACTGAGGTTGCCCCGGACTACTTCCACCATCTTGGTGATGATGAATGGGAGCGTCTCACGGTCCTCCATGCCCCGGTCAAGATGATGAAAGAAGCAGGTCAAGAGGCTTGCTCAAGAAAGGGCAAGGGCTGAGCATCCGGCCGAGAGTTTGGCTGCGGACGAGCGGTGCCTGCTGATCTACAAGCATGCGGCCATTCGCGTCGATGCCATTCTCAAGGACAAGCAAGCAGCACTACATGCGGCAGGAAGAAGGGGCGGTTGTTGTGAAACACCAAAGTGCAGAGCCCAAGTAGAAGTCTTGTTAGGCCAGGACAGATGGGCACCTTCTGCCATGGGTGTCAGGTGCGAGACTTGCCATCGCCGCATCAAGAGCTGTGCAACTTTGGCTGAGACGCAGGCCAAAGATGATGAACGATCACCGGGCAGGTTGAGCAATCCTTAGCCTCCACGCTCCAGATGGTGACTGACATGGAGTATCTTGCAGATGACGCTCCTGGTCACAGGTGGCAGCAAACGATGTTGGATCAAGATGCCCCACAAATGCAGCAAACAGGCCTTGCCTGAGTTGTAGACTGTCACATGTGTGTGTGGGCTGATGGAAGAGGAGTCCTTGGACATCCGTGGAAGGCTGCGTTCTTCACATGCACTAGTGCGCCATGAGTGCAGTCGGCGTGGTAAGCACACCAGGGGTTTGCGGATGGCAAGAGTCGCTGCTGAATGCAAGGTGGCCAAAGGTCAACAGACCCTGGGGTTTGGAAGTTCCTCGTCTTGAGATGAGGACAGCCACTTTTGGGCAAAGTCGCGTGGCTTGAACAGCAGAGGGAAGGAGCCGACCCAAAATGTAGAAGAGAGAGAATATGAGAGAGAGAAAGACAGAGATGTGAAGATATGCATGTCTGGATATGTTCAGGTGTGAAGACGTGCAGACGCGCATGTTTGGATATGTGCAGATGTGAAGATGTACATGTCTGGAGTTCTACAGGCGTGAAGATGCACACGTCTTGATATGTGCAGGTGTGAAGATATGCATAATACGGATGTAAATCTTGATAATATGTAATTCAATATTTCTTTTTCTCCATTTCGCTCTTGTGTTAGAAGAACTCTTCGCCCCGACGCTCTTGGGAAAAACTAGTGAATTTAATGTTTTATTCCCTAGTTTCCGAATCCGCCGCTCAAGTTTAAAAATCCGTTGTTGACCTAATAAAACTTTCGGGGTGATCGAGCAGCACGTTGCCCAAGTTTTGCCAGACTTTCCAGGCACTCAAAGCTGGCACTACACCGGCATCTTTTGAAGAGACAACCGAAAAATAGAAGTTCAGGAATCCCCCACACCGCCGTTGTGATTGCACTGCCTTCGCTACCGATCCCTGAAATCCAGAAGAATCAATCCCGCTGGCCATCGTGTCTCATCTCCAACACCCACTGGTCGCCCACCGCTGCCGCAGCAGCTGTCTCGAACGATCCGCGTGTCGGCAGCGGCGGCGGTTCTGGTCGAACGGCTCTCCGTGGCTCCAGGCGAAGCTGTTGGAAGATCAACGGCGAAGCCTGAAACATTTCGAATGCGTGCAGAGTGGTCTCAGTGCCTTCGGCGGAGGGGAGCGGGGCGATGGAAAAGGGGTTTGGTGGTGACCGCTGGTGACTGGTGGTTCTTGTAGTGAGTGACTCTGGTGGCTGATCTTGTGGATGTGAGTTGTTTTTTCAGATCTTTGACAGCAAACCAAAGCTGCAAACCTGTAGTTATGGCGCTTGACTCTTGCATGCATATACTTAGACCAGAACTACCCTGCAACTCACCAACATCAAAAACATGGAAGTAGAACAGCACCTGTTTGTAAAAGAAACACATCTTGTCAGGGATCATGCCAACTCCACTTCTATGTGACGTGTTCACCGGCTCATGTTTTTGCCTTGGATTTAACTCGGAATTTTCTTCAGCCGGCATGGTCTTGTAAACACCATTTTGCTCATGTTCAGCGACTATTCAATCTTCTCCTAGTCGTTTTCACGCGTAGTCATCCGGGACAGCAGATGAACCACGTAGTCGTCCCCCCGCGTCCCCACAACTTCATTCTTTGCCGTTCCCGCCTCAGACATGCTCAGACCCGAAAATCGACCGCCGGTCACCGCATCCGGCACGATGGGCCTTTCAAGACCTGAACCGACTTGGGACTCACATGACTCAGCACCTGAACCGACCTAGCCTGATGGCCTGACCCATCGCGTGACTCTCAGGCATCATGCGGGCGGGCGCCATGCGCTCCCGACCCCAGACCTCTCCGGCGGGCGGCATCGTCAAGCAGACGGCGCGGGGAAGCACCGGGGTAGGTGGAACTGTGGGTGAAAGACTGAAAGCGAAGAAGTTCAAGATGTTGGTCAAATGCCTGATGTTTCTTGGGGTTGTGGGCTTTTGGGTTGAGGGTGTTGAGGGTGTTGGTGTTCCTGTCTTTTTGAATGCCCTTCAGTTGTAGGCAAGTGTTGCGTATAACTGTAGATACCAGCGGTTCCATAGGGGTGCTTAATGCAGCCTATAGGACTTTGGGGTAATTGTAGATACACAAGGAGTTGCAAGTGTTTCTTCTTGGCTGGCCAGAATCATTCCCCTCGTGACCGTGGATTTTGAAGGGTGCAGCAGCCAGTCTTGTCACTTCATATGGGGCACCAGACAGCTTTCAAAAGGCCACCGTAGGAAGAGGTTTTTTGAACCTCAACGGGGGCGGGGGGGCTTACTAATCAAGTATATTATAGATGTATGTGTTTTTGAATTTGTATACAAATGTCAAACGAGGATGCAGACGATCAAAAGATCCCACGCAACCTGCAACCATTCCAGAGAAGGGGGTGAGACACATGACAATATGAACGGATGAGTCATTGGACGGTCATGCAGGGTTGTTGATTGACTCAGTCTTCGGGTCATGTTTGGTTGACCAAACACCACGTTCTTCGGAGCTGTACTTGGACATTGCATTGTTCTCATCCACGTCGTCACTTCCTCCGTGCACCATTCAAAGCTCAATGCCCCCAAACTCAAATTCGGCCCCAACCAAAAAAAACAATACCTCGACTGCTACCAGGCCGCGGGACATCCCGCCTTGCGCTGCTATCGCAGCTTCGAGATGTATATCCCCTCCCCCAGCTCCACCGCCCCCAAGGACGAACTGTCCCCCTGGCTTCTTCCCCCGTGCGCAGCTCCACGGCCGCCAGCACCGGCTTCGCAACTCTGCACGCCGCCGATCCCGGCCACGTGCCGCCACCGCGTGCGAACGACGCGTCCGCGTCCGCGCACGGACGGCGCAGCTCGCAGGCGCAAGAGTTGGGGCTGCAACGGCTCTCCTTTACCGAGACGTTGCGCCAGGAGGTCGAAGCCTCCAGGCGGACTGGGCAGAGCGCGCCGGGCGCGGGCTCCGCCGCGCTCCAGGGGGGGGGTGGACTGGAGCTCAAACCACTGGACATCCATATTTGGTTGTTGGCGTTTCAACATGTTTCGGGTCGACCTGATTGAAGCTAACATCTTAAAACCACAGGTTTAATGTTCAACATGTGATTGAGCTCTTCTTGGGAGCGTGATGTACCCAGTCAGAACTTCTAGTTTAATTTCCCGTCACGCTTTATTGATTGCCCAACTCGTTGTAACCAAAAAGTATCAGATTGAGCCGCAACATTCTCTTTAGTTAAGAAAGACCGCGGTGACACCGAAAACAAGTCGAATTCTTCAGACCGGAGCCATCCGCAGGGTCTCGTGTGGCATCCGCGGCAGTGTGGAGCTCCCGAGCCACGTGCCGAGCCTTGGCGAAAAGGAAGGTCGCCCGAGCTGAAAAGGACACTGGCCAAGGTGTATCTTGGCATGTAGTGTAGAAGTTGTAAAGGAATCTGTAGAATCAGTGTGTACCTGATTCTACAGATTCCATGTATAGAAGGGTGAGTTATAAGTTAGGAGGAAGCCCGGGTGGAGCGAAGTCCGGTGTCTTCCCGTGAATTCGTCCCATGAGGAACTGACGAGCCTGTAGCGAACCCCCGTCCCAACCCAGAAAGAGTTCTGGATCTCTCCGAGTCCCAGACAGTGTCCCAGACATGTCCGGAAAGCCTCTGAAACGAAAAACCCAAAACCACACTCCAGGAGTCACAAAGGGGTGCCTATTGGAGGTTAGGGGTGCCCAGAACATCCACTCGCTGGATGGGACCAAACACCACCCCGACATGTGACCCCTGGCTGTTTCTGTTTCTGGTTGTTTTTGGCTTGCAGGCCCCAAATGCGACCCTGCCAAGAAGACGAGGTTCATTCCACCTCCGTCTGTAAAACCATGGTAAAACCACCTTGCACGAGGGTCCCTCTACTCGAGATTAAAAGGTGTTGGGTTCCAGGCCCATCCACCAGGAATTTCTAGAGCAACGTCTTATTTGACTGTTGATGTGTTTGGGTAAGAGCCCTATGTTTGTATACAGAAAAACCGAGGGCCTCTTGTGTGTTGATCCGTTACCCACCGAAAGCCTCATCCCAAGGGTTCATGGGCGTTCATGGTTTCAGAACATGGCGCGCACGGATCGGACGCATCCCATGCAACCGGGTTCGGACCAAAACTTCGCATGGGTTACCCAGTGACCTTTCCTCTCAGTGCGCAGAAGCAGTTCGGGTTCGGAGGCGACCATGGTGACGAAATGGTGACGAAAGAAACTTGTATAGTATAGAAGACCTGTCAAGTAGATGCAAGAAATAGGTCCCTTCCTTCCCCACCCTTTATTGACGGGGCCAAGGACCTGACCTTCTCTCCATCCTCAGGATGGCGCAGATCCCCGAGCAGCCGGAGCTCGAGCGCCCCAAGACCTCGCCCGCCGCGCCCGTCACGGCGCCGCCCACCGCGGCGGCGCCCGCGTCGCCGGCGCCGACGTCGCCCTCGGCGAAGAGCGACGGCGCGGGGTCGCGGCCTCGGTTCGGGAGAGGGTGAGTGGGCAGACTGGGGGTGGACTGGAGAAAGAGACGCCAAAAGCCCATACTACAGGGGTTGTTCCTCTTTTTGGATCTATATACTATGGATCTTGGGCCAGGATGAGAATGGTACCATGTTGCTATAGTTATACTGTCCGATATAAAGCTAATCTTGGGGAGCAAATGGTCTCAGAGCAGTTGCCGCAACCCCCAAACAAGCTAACCAACTTACAACCATCTCCAGGTGGTCCCCACAATGCCGCCAAAACTTCCAGCCTCCAAATAAAGCAAGTCCGGCCAAGCCTGATTATGTCAACTTTCCTGCTGAAGAGATGGAGGCAGGCAGGCCCTGCAGGCGCCAATAGGACGGGATGTACACTTGCAGTCACTGTGGTTTTCGAGGCCTGTCGAACTGGAGGTGGACCCTTTGTTCCCCAAACAGTGTGGACACACTAGTGGTTCTTGCAGTGGTCGTGAAGCACCGGTGTTAGATTGAGGTGTTGCACCGACGTGTCCGGCTAATCTGCTGCTATTTCCAGTGCATTCATACTGCGCAGGCTCGCGAATTCTGGGTGGCGGCGGCGGGTGCTTGTCGTGACTGCTCTCTCGTTGTCGTGCTGTGCGCATTTTTGGACATGGTGGCCACTTTTCGTGGCAGGCGCAAGGAAACCTCGTATTTGGTGACCCAAAGTCGACTTTTCATGACAGGTGCAGTGAATCGTGACTTTTCTGCATGCGGCTCATTTGCAGATTTCGTGGCAGGCGCAGCACCTTGTGAAACTCGACGTGCGGATTTCGTGGCAGGCACTCACTCACTCCACTCCACTCCACTCCACTCCACTCAACTCACTCACTCACTCACTCACCACTCACTCCCTCGCTCGCTCACTCACTCACACTCACACTCACATTCACGCTCACTCACTCACTCACTCACTCTCGCACTCACTCACTCACTCACTCTCTCCCACTCTCCCACTCTCACTCACACTCACACTCACACTCACACTCATTCACACCCACTTACTCACACTCACTCACTCTCACTCACTCTCACTCTCACTCACTCTCGTGCACTCACTCACCACTCACTCGCTCGCTCGCTCACTCACTCACTCACTCACACTCACACTCACACTCACACTCACTCACTCACTCACACTCACACTCACTCTCACACTCACACTCACATTCACATTCACATTCACATTCACATTCACATTCTCACTCACTCGCTCACTCACTCACTCACTCCCTCGCTCGCTCACTCACTCACTCACACTCACACTCACACTCACATTCACACTCGCTCACTAACTCACTCACTCACTCTCCCCCACTCTCACTCTCACTCACACTCACACTCACACTCATTCACACCCACTCACTCACACTCACTCTCACTCTCATTCACTCTCGCGCACTCACTCACCACTCACTCGCTCACTCACTCTCACTCTCACTCTCACTCTCACTCTCACTCTCACTCTCACTCTCACTCTCACACTCACACTCACACTCACACTCACATTCACTCACTAACTCACTCACTCACTCTCTCCCACTCTCACTCTCACTCACACTCACACTCACACTCACACTCATTCACACCCACTCACTCACTCTCACTCACTCTCACTCTCACTCACTCTCGTGCACTCACTCGCTCGCTCACTCACTCACTCACTCACTCCCTTGCTCGCTCACTCACTCACTCACTCCCTCGCTCGCTCGCTCACTCACTCACTCACACTCACACTCACACTCACACTCACATTCACACTCACTCACTCACTAACTCACTCACTCACTCTCTCTCACTCTCACTCACAAAACGCTCCTGCTCAAGGCGCCAATTGGTTTGCGAGCTGCTCATTGCTGGTACATGCCTCATGAAGTCCCTGGGGTTTTTAGCAAACTGCTCCACCAATGTCAAGGGTTTGGTCAAGAAGACATTGAACAGGCCACAGAGGCTGTCAGCCGCATGCCACTGGGGCGCACCTGGTTTCGACCAGAAGGCGTAGCTGCCACGTCCCCTTTCGGAATTGCATTGCAGAAAACCTATCGCAGCCTATCGCGGGTAGACTTGTCCCTACCTGAGGGACTGTTGATAGGCCTTGGCTATGCAGCCACGAACCCTGACAGCCCTCTGGATTTTCACCAAGCGCAGAGCGCAGCAGAACGATCTGGAGTTGCAGGGCAGCACCAGTGGAGCATCATGCTGCCCACCAGTGCGCGAGTTTCACAAGAGGTATACGGGCCCCTAATAGGCATTCAGTACCCAATGCTGCGCAGCCGCGTGCAAGATACTTGGCAAATCGGCACTGCCTCCATTCGAGCAGACCACTGTGTCGCCACGGGTCTCCGGTTTGTCAATTGGTGTCACGCTTCCCAGAGTGATGAGGCAGTGAATCACCCGCAGGGCAACCAAACTGTCCTCGCCTATCAACATCTTGAAGATGAGTTGACAAGAGCGGAAGCTGGGAGTGACGCGGTGCTGGCACTCACAACCAGGCGAATGCCGAAACAGCAGTCAAAGTAGCCGGAGCCACTGCAAAGCACTGCATAGTAATCCATGGACGAACATCATTCCTTAGTGGTAACGGGTGGAATGCTGACTTTGACATGGAATGTTATACACGAGCAAATGTTGCCTATAGCCGTGCCACCGATCTCACGATCCTTGCATGTCCGGTTAACATGCATGGCATGCCAGGGGCGCTGCAAGTGCTCGCTACCCTCCTACATGGAGTCCAGACCATACACGCAAACGATTCCCTCAAATTGACCGCAATTAGCGCTCTGAAGCTGGACGCAAGCCAAATCAGTGATGCCACGCCAGGCGGCCCTGATGCCACACGAGCTGTGGATCGGCCCGTTACCAGTCTGCCTGGCAGAGTACCATGAATGAAGGGTGAGACGCTTACGCCTCGTCCTCACAGCTAAGTCCCACCTGCTAGCTGCTGAAACCGACTACCTACAGGACGGGCCCCACCTCCCTGGCAACAGTGCAAAACATGGCCTCCTCTGTGGGTATGCCCTTGATGCTTGCCCGCACCCGGAATGGATCGTTGTGCCGGATAGTCGGCAGCAGGGAATGTGCCGACTGCTCCACAATAGCAAGGACCCAGGACGTCGGTGCAGCGTAGGGTGCTCCCAGAGGTATCAGCCCCAGCAAAGCGCTGGTCAGAGCAGAAAGGCGCAGGCCTACTGTTTTCGCGCTCGCACTCGCACTCGCACTCTCACTTGTTTATTTGTTGTTGTGCGTTGTGGTCATGTGTTTGTGGTTGTGTTTGCAGTTGCGTTTGTGATTTTGTGTTTGTGGTTGCGTTTGTGATTGTGGTTGTGTTTTGTGGTTGTGTGTTTGTGAATGCTTGTTTGTGTTTGTGGCTGTGTTGTTTTGAGTGCGTTTGTGCTTGTGATTGTGCTTGTGGCTGTGTTGTTGTGATTGCGCTGTTTTTGTGTTTGTGGTCTTGTGTGTTTGTGATTGTGTTTCTGGTTGTGAATGTGGTTGTGTTTTGCGGCTGTGCGCTGGTGATTGTTAAGTTTGTGGTTGCGTTTGCGTTCATGTGTATGTGGCTGCGAGTCTGTGATTGTCTGGTGGTGGCTGTGCGTTTGTGGCTGTGTGTGTGTGTGTGTTTGTGATTGTGTGTGTTTGTGGTTGTGGTTGTGTTGATTGCGTCTGTGATTGTGTTTGTGTTTGCGATTGTCAAAGGTGTAGTATAGTGAAACATGCAGTTGATGCAGCGTGGCAGTTGCTTCAAAAGAGCTTGTTGTCGATTTACGTTTTATACTTGCATGCACCTGTGCGTGTTATGTTCGCGAAGCTCTTCTGAAACCTGTGGATTGTCACGGGTGTCCAAACGTAAGACCGTAAGATATAGTCTTACATGTAAAGTCTGATTTCTTACACTAAAGCTCAAGAAGATCGGAACATCAGCGTGGAACACAAATTGTAGACATGTTGGATGACACATTTTAAGCAAGACTTGTGGACGAATGCTCGAAACATAACTTGCCAGATTTAAATCTATATGTATTAATGATGCTGACTACGACGACGGTGAAGATGGTGATAACGATGATGATTATTGTTATGATGATAAGTGAGATGTGCACAAGGTTGGCATGTGTGTTGTGGTTGTGTGTTTGTGATTGTGTGTTTGTGATTGTGGTTTTGTGCTGTGGTTGTGTGTGTTGCGGTTGTGTGTTGTGTCTTTGTGGTTGTGTGCTTGTGGTTGTGTGATTGGGTTTGTGGTTGTATGTTTGTGGTTGTGTGTTGTGTCTTCGTGGTTGTGTGTTTGTGGTTGTGTTTTTTGTTTGTGTGTTGTTGTGGTTTTGTGTTGAGGTCTGGTCTGTTGAGGTCTGTTCGTGCCCACTGCGATCTGGCGCTTGCTGTTGAGGTCCGAGACTGCCCACTGCGATCTGGCGAAATGGAGCCAGACAGTGCAAATCCACTGGAGATCAGAAGGTGGTTGGTTGATGCGTGCAAGACATGCGGGTCCCAGGTGCAAAAAAGCACACGGTGGGACTGGGTGGCAGCGACTGGAGGGTCCTGACCAGAGGAGGTACGCCAGAGCGGCGGGAGATCGTCGAGAGATTGAAAGGAGGCCACTTTCCATCGCCTCGTCGTTGAGCAAACTGATCCTGAGGCAATCGCTGAGCTTGAACAAAAGCTTGAAGACGATGAAGACGGCAGGCGCTGCATGGGCACCGAACTGGGCGGTGTGGGAACCCCCCTGTCTTTGGATCACGGATGGTCACAGAAGTGCGCGTTTCAAAAGACAGGGGTGTTGAATGGTTTTGACGTGCCAGGCACAACAGGTCTACAAATTCAAACGAATGTGTGTTGAAGGCTGACTAGTTGCATCGCCGCATCGCTAATCCTGTAGTTTGAGCAGTCGACGGTGTTTGAGGGGTCTTGCAAGACCCATCACTTGGAGTAGTTTGGATGGTTTGACCGTGGATTACAAGATCAAATATGTGGGTCAGAACAGTTCAAAGCTTCCATTATTGTGTTTTTGGAATATGCCCAGTGGGACCTCTTCGGGGTATACCCCAAACCATCCCAAACCCATCTCCTGGTTTTGTTGTGTGGAGAAAGGTGATGTGATGTGTTTATTCACCCGGAACATGGTGCATGCCCTTCAACATCCCTGGGAACAAATCCCACCCATGCCGCAACGAAGTGACTGATGTTTGATCTCGAGCCCCGACTGGATTGCACACCGACTTGGCCACGACGAAGATTCCGGTCGGAACAGTCTGGGGGTTCTTGGAGCAAGAGCCTGATATTTCGACCTATGTAATGTAGTTGGCTAGTCCGTGGAAGAGTTAAACACCCCTTTTCTGAAAAACATTGAAGACGGCGATAAAACCATGGTTACCAAAGAGAGAGAGATTCATCCAATTAATACGGCGCTTACCCTCCCTGAAAGAATCCATAGGCTTGCAAGGAGGATACGTGGATGGCACCCCCGGAAGTGACTTGTCGGCTTGTGTTGGGCCCTTCTCTTTCCTTCGGGCCATGTCTTCCCCACGGCAAGCATCGAAGGTCGAAATGCGAAGAAGGGTATCCCACACACGACCTGCTTGGGACTGCCAGTCCGACATGCCGCTCCAAACAGACCCCTCTGGCACCACCACCCCTCTGGCACCACCACCACCACCACCACTCCTATGAGTCGGGTATGCGTCTAAACAGTCCATCGTCCGGTCGATCGGGGGGAGCGGTGGCGGAGAAGGGTTGGTTGCTTGGGCCGAGGTTTAGAGGACTGACATTTCAAGAGATTGATTGATGCTTGGTTTTTCTTGTGTTTTTCTGAGTGGGGACATTGTTTGCTCAGAGTGTGCTCTTCCAAAGAAGTGTTTTGGCGTTAAGAGATGTGAAACGTGATTTCAAGCCGCTGCAGCACTTGTGGCAGTTCTTTGGGAACAAAGTACTTAAGGCTCGAGTTCCTATTCAAGAATACGATCGAGATGCAAGCAGTCGTTGGCATATCCTAAACAGCGTGGATGTTTCTTGTGGTTTCCATGCGAAAACCGGACACCTCCCCGAGCGACGGTCCAGCGGCGCCTCGAGTCCACAGAGGCACCGTGAAGTTCAGAGGGAGCGGCTCGGGCGGCGGCAGTGGGCCACTGGGGGCCTCTTGGATGCACGTGTTTTGGGCATGATGCCGGAGGCGTGCGTGGCGGGTGGCTACTTTGATTTTGAGAAGGGAAACAAACGGTATTCAACCGTGAGAAACCACCCTAATGGCCTTTGGGCCAGCTTTTCTTCCAGGCTTCCAATGTCTTGGCATCGGTTTCGGGAGGTCGACTGAACGACGACCTCGTTAGCATCTCATTCCGACGTGGACCCGACGGTCGAATGGCTCATTCCGACGGCTTTCCTCTACAAAAAGGGGCGGTCGCTTTTGTCGCCGTGAGTTGATTCAGAGGCTCATGTGCTCGTTTCGTTGCCCGTAAAAAGGGGCGTCGCTTGTGCGAGATGAGACCGTCAGTCCCATGTCTTCTCAGCGAACGAAAAACTGAGACTGACGGTCTCATGAGACTGACACATTGCGGAGAAGCAACGTGTACTCTTGTTTGACGATGTGCGGTTCGCAAAATGTCCAGCAAAGGAACCCTCACTGTTTGCAATATGCATGGTTTGACTAGATAGATTGAGCATTAGTTGCAAAAAACATAAGTATGATTCTATAGCTAGTTTACCAGTGCAATTGAAAAAGCAAGAAGACGATGTTCAACCTGACAATTGTTCGAGAAACGACCAATCACACCATGTTTCGAAACAACTAGTGACTACCTTGAACCCGTTTGACCTGTTTTTTGAAAAGATAATCTTTTCGCTCCAAAACAGGGGTCGATCAGGTTCTAGGTACATATTATATATTGAAAACTTTTTATAAAAGAAGATGGAAGTGTCAGGTAGCCGCAAAAGCTGGAAACAGACGAGTCTCAGACGGAACTTCTGATGGGGTCTGTCCATGTGTTCGAGTTGGCTTCAGCCCATCACCAGGCCGTGGCCGGAGCCCCACAACAGGTGAACCAACCCGTGGCGCCATGTCGGACAGTTGGCCCTGAGGCTCCCTGGTCCTTCCGACCGTCCAAGACGTCCAATACGATCCCACTCCCTCGGAAAAAAAAAAAAAACAGTCCCAACCAGAAACAAATGGTTGTTCCAATATGGCTTGCTTGAAATCCTTTACAGCACGGAAATGGTTGGGACTGGGGAAACATCCATTTCTTTCTGGTTGGGACTGGGGTTCCAGGCTGGAGCCTCACCGGCGGAACTTTCCGTCCGTGGGAACTTCCGTCGGTGCAGTGGGTCGATGGTGTTCCTGCTACGGTCGCATGGATCGGATCGGTCGCAGGTGAAGGACCGTGACATGAGGTTCTTGGCACTTGGATCGAACGGCGTTGGGGTGTGTGACTAGGTGTTCCTATAGGTCCGTTCGTAAACCTGTAAGAGGAAGGGTTAAAAGATGATGTCACGACTTTAGAGATGGAAAGGCCTGCAACTGAGAAATCCTCCACTGGGCCCTGCTTCACTAGGATTAATTGCCCAAGTATACCCAATTAGTTTGCGGTTTTCTTTTCCGTTCCAAACGGATCCGGCTTTGCACTGCCCGTTGCTTCCAAACGAAGGCATAGGCCCTGGCATGTTGACCGTTCACCACCGTTTTTGGCAGAGAAAAAGGCTAAGAATCGCCTCCCCTCCTAACAGCGGTGGCCTCCAACCTAAAAGGAATGGCCTCCAACCTAGAAGCAATGGCCTCCCCGCCTCCCCTCCTAACAGCGATGGCCTTCAAGCTACGGAGAAGAACACCCAGGTCAGTTGGAACGACGAAGAGGAGGAATTCTGTCGCTTCCACGAGGAGTTCCCGAACTCCCCACTTCGTCCGGACGCTGTGTTCGCGGGACGGTGTTGGTGGGACCGGGACGTGGCGTGGTCGGCCGGTGTCTTTTTCGGATCCCCTTCGGAGCCAAGCGAGTTGTTTGGGGACATCAAGAGATTGAAAGGCACAATCCACCAGGTTGAAGGAAGAGATGATCCTTTTGATCTTTTGCAGTTTCTTGTTGTATTTGGATTGAGGATATGGGGGGTCTAATTTCAGTCTTGGGAAGCCTGGAATCGGGTTGGTGTTCTTTTCCTGAAAGTAGTTTCCAAAAAGCTATGGCAAGAGAAGGAAACAGCCGTTCACCAGGCTTTGTGCGATCCACTTGGTTGAACCTGGTCTCCGGTTATTCACCGTGCCTTGATTGATGAGTTCGTGATGGGGTTTAGCGTGGGCCCCCGTTTTAAGTTGCATCCCGAAGTAGGCCAAAGTGGGGCCCAAGGTTGACAAAGTGACTCATAAAGAACCCCCTGGCAGACTTCTGTTACAGTTTTAAAAGTGTTAAGTCAACAATGTGGTGAAGATTGTCTATGAGGTGAGCACCGACGAGGACGATGGCTTCGATGAGGATCAAGCAAAGGCCATAAATTTCCTCATGCTGCAGCTTGGGCGGGTTCCATGAAAGCTCGATGTCTCGGGCCGAGGTTGAAGAGCTCTCCTGATCAGAGATCGGATTCATCTACGAAGGATGCAGCTACGTCAGGGACATGGTGAGCCATACAGAAAGGCAATCGGCGTCAGGGCCGAGTGGACCTAGTGGCGCTCCCTCCACTTCTCTGGCTGATATGTCCTCGATCGGGCATGCTGCATGGGGCCTCTGGTGGTCTCATGGGGCCCCTTCAGCTACCATGCTGGGTGATGTGCCTACAGGCGCTTTATCTCGCTTTATGCATCGATCGTCGCAAGAGCTGGACGCCCGGACACATGTGGGGTTTGCTGCATCCTCTGGAGGCTGCGGGGCCAGCCAGGTTCAGGCTCAGCACTTCATCGCCCTCGTGATGTGATACTTGCAGCAGAAGCAAGCGAGATGAGAATCCTCCGTCCAGCTTTCGCAGCCATCAAGGCCGTCCACATGAGAGCATTTGCTCAAGCTTTCAGAGCTGCGGCTATCGAAGCGTCCGAGCACCGAATGCTTCGCCCAGCTTCGGAGTGGCGTATCTCTGCCGCAGTCTGCGACGCGACGGAGGGGAAAGGCGTCAGTCCGATGCTGACTCCGACCGCGGACCCCCCGCCTCCATGCGGACCGTCATCTGTCTAGTGCTCGGTCGTTGACGGGAGGAATGTGCAAGGCCGGGAGAATGGAATAAATCTCTTTACAAACGGGTTGACAAGGTTGGCAGTCCATGTCCAGGTTCCACCAGGTGAATTATCGGCGGCCGGGAGAATGGATGGCTCCCACTCGTTCGCCGTCATGGCCATCGATACATGTTGGATCATATGTTGGTGAGGAAGAGGCCAAGACCTGGACCTCCGGATCTCGACCTGTGAAATCTCTAGGCCTTGCGACCTGTTGATTGTATAGGCGTTGATCTCAAGATCTCTAGATCTCTACTAGACCTCCAGACTTCTAATAGACCCCGACCCCTGGGATTTCTAGGCCTCAGATCTACAGACATTGATATCTCCTTAGATCTCAAGGGCTGGTTCTTGAGATCCTCAGAACTCTGGACCTCTAGATCTCCGCTAGAGCTAGAGACCTCGCCAGACCTAGAGCTTCCAGACCTAGCCAGATCTCTCTCAAGACCTCGCCTTCAGATCTATAGACCTCTAGATCTCTTTGGATCTCAACAGCTCTAGGCTTCTAGCTCTGATCTAAACCTCTACACCTAGCCAGATCTAGATCTGCCTGGCCTCTAAACATATTTAGATCTTGTGGACTTCTAGATCATTTTGGATTTCAAGACCTAAATTGATCTGGAGACTCCAGACCTTTGAATCTCTCTGGAACCCAATACGTCTAGATCTCTAGACCTTCTGTTCCTGCGCCTCTGGACCTTAGACCTCTAGGCATTGTTTGAGGTCTCTTGCGGGGATAAACAGCACAGAAATACTGCCATCCAAAAGACTTGAAAAAAGGAAAACTAAAAGACTTGAAAAAAAAAAAGAACTCAACTACCCGCACAATTCCTATCTTCCTTACATACCTTTCTTTAAAACTCCAGTAATACTCCCAGCGCAGATGCGGAGAATCACCCTCCCAGTTCCTATCAGTTCCTGATAGCTCCAGGAGTACCTCTTCCCCTTGGACCATGAAGACTTCAACCTCGCTGATGCCCAGCTCTATCGTGCCAAAGGCTCCAGTTTGCTCCTGCCACGAGCCGAGATATGAGACCCGCGGTCAGCGAGAGGAACGTGGACGGAGCGAGACGTCGTCGTTGTGCTTGGCACCGTGGCTTTGGTTTCTTCAGTTCTGTCCTCAATGGGGTGAAGAAAACGGGGGCACAGACGGGTCCCCACGAAACCATCGACATGCACGCAACAGGGCCTCAGTTCAGCCCGGCACGACCGGCGCCATGAGTCTCTTGTTGGAACTGAACTGGATGCTCCTCGGGGTCGTCGCGGCCGCCTCGTGTCGCTGTCAAGAGGGGGTGCCGACTGTCGAGGGATGGGATGGCAGATGAGTTCAGGGGGTGCCGTGAAATCGGAAATTGATCGATCCGTTGGTCTGCAGCTTTGACACTGGGCTTTGGTCGAAATGGATTTGGTAGTTGAAGTTCCCTTCTTACCAAACATACATGTGTTTTTAGAATGGTGGAAACCACCGAAAAACAAGCAGGTTCTCACTGCAAGACACTTGGTACCCTACATTTCAGAATTTGACCGCTAATTGCCAACCTGGTTGAATATACCTAGAGAAAAAAAACTGACCCACATGCCTTTGGGAGAATCTTTGCTCCATGTTTGCACCTGAGAACCTCTATCCCGGACCGGTCCGGCTTCGGCGCCATCGGAACGTCCGCGTGGTTTGAGCGACAGAGGTCGCAGAGCAGCAACGTGATGACCTTCGCCTTCGGTGGGGAAGACCCGTTTGGAAGATGCCCTGCGTTTGGGGCGAGCTTCCATCTGCAGTCGAGTTCGCGGAAGGTGTGTTTGATGTGACTCTGACACTTTTGCACTGACTATGACGATGACTCTCTAGTTGCTCTTGGAAAGATGCTCTACGGCCTGTGCTGGGTTTTCTCACAGATTCGGACCCCAGCTCCGTTGGAAGCTCTTGTGAGATATATGGGCAAAATGGGTGGCTTTCCTCATTCACTCATCACCGTACTATGTAATTACAATGTATGATATATTCCGTCTGAATGCCTTCAAAACCTATCTCGAGTAGTCTGCTGACTGGCAGAAACACGGGTGTTTTCCCTGGAACACGCTGTCAAAACCGGCACTGGATCAAAACCGGTGTTGTCCCTGGTTGACCACGGTGTCAATGAACAGAAGAGTGACTGAATAGATAGGTCAACCTACCGGTGAATGAAGGGGTCCATGTGGGTTGACCCACCCTCCCAAGCGGCTCAACACTGCACGTGAATGGGCCACGACCGACCGCTGAGGTGGCGCGGAGGGCACGCGCCTAGCCACCGCTGATTCGGAGGCGGTCATGGCGTTTTGCCCTGAAAGTCCTGGCCCAAACCTTAAAGGAGTTTACTGTGAGCTAGGACTTCAACAGGTTTCCAGCTCAAACCTTATTGATTTCATGTGACCAGCAACCTTTAAGGAGTTTAAAAACGAAAAGCCGGCTCAAGCATGTTGAAAATTGTCGGGCTTATAGCGCTCCCTGACTTGGTCCCACACATCTATACGGAGCTTTCCCCTCAACCTCCCTGAACAGAAAAGTTGGATTTACTCACCATGTACTTCATGTTTGTGCCAAGTAGTTATATAGTTATGTCGCCCAGCGCCGGGGATAAGACTGGCCGTTTCGCAATTTGAGTTCATCTCCAGCTGGAGCTTGGAACTGAAACGCACCGGGGCAAGTAGGTAGGAGCGGTAAAGGATGCGGAACCATCCCGTCATTTGATGGTGCTGGGTTCAGATCTCCATTTGGTATGAAGAGATGTCCTTTGAAAAAATACTACCCCTTAGCTGAATCACAGCCATACAACAATAATTTCATTGGGAGTTTGGATAGTTGGTGGTGAAAGATCTTTAAAAACCAAAAACATCGAACGAAACTGGTCCAAACTGTGGACTGCTTTCCACCGTCGGTGTCAGTGTCGTTGACGCTGGGTCTACGCGTTGGTGAAAACGCGTGAACACGACGTTTCAGGGAAGCTTGGCGATCTGGAACGTGCGGGGCCCAGTGAGTGTGATGGTACTTCTACTAGGTGATGGTTTCGGATATGTTTATTTATAACCCTTACTTGGGGATGATTGGACCCTCTGACTAATATGTTTCAAGTCGGTTGAAAACACCAATCAGTCTATAGTTTGACCATTTTCCAATGTGTGTGTGTGTGTCCTGTCTCGTGATCTCTAAGTATTGTAGGGTCCATTGGACACCCATTGGGTATAATTGTAATAGTTCTTACTCAGAGCACCCGTCAACTCCAACAGCCTTTTGGTCAGTGCTGGGGCTTGCAACACTAGACGAAGATACAAGAAACTTGTAAAGTTTCAGATGCTCTTCGACTGGGATACGAACCTCGAATATCAGCTTGGCACTTGATAAAGGTATACCTGTTCGTCTTTAAAATGTCTAAAAGGCGTTTCTATTCGTGTACACCACAGGTTACGCAATACAGGTCTTCCAGAGAGCAGAAGGATGCAGCAGACACATGGACAACGTCGATTTATCGCTCTCTGGCAGTTCAGTGGCCCCTCAGGATGGTATATCTCGGACGTGCGGTCGGTCACGTGTGCTCGGCGTGAGCGGAGCAGCACGCATCAAGTCCTGTCCAAAGCCTTCAGCAAAGAAACGGCCGAGCGAGGTCGGCGGTCCGACGGACCTTGCGAGCAGCCGTCCATTGACAAATGGCTGCATGACATCGATCTCTGAGGGAATCAGGCAACTGAAGCCAGATTCCAGAACAGCGAACAAAAACCCCCAAACTCAGCATGCTCCGACCGTCCAGAGTAAAAACCTCAACGTCCAAACTCTCACATGGTCCGCAGGGGAACTAAACCGTAGGTCGCTGAAAGAGGTCACGAA